ATTTATATAATAATTAGTATATTATTTATAAACTTTTATTTTTTGTTCTAATATAGTTATTCTAAAAGTTATTTTCTTAAACTAGTACTTTTTTATTATTCTTTTATTCTAAGCTAAATACTATAGCTATAAGAATATAAATAATAATTTCTAATAGAGAATATTTAGAGCTATCGAATGATACTATTTATAGACCTATAGCTCTCTTAATTAGCCTAATGCAGCTAATTAAAGTTTTACTCTTGTAATTTACTTTTGATGTTCTTAACGCCAAGGCTGCAGCTAGGTCTTTACGAATTTTGATGTTCTTAACGCCAAGGCTGCAGCATTCTTCCATAATTTTGATGTTCCTAATGCCAAGGCTGCAGAAATAACCTTACCGCTAAACGCGGGTACCTCTTAACGCTAAACTCCTAACAGCAGGAGTCTCCAACAGGGGTCTAATCGGGCTCACAAGGGATATAAAGTGGCACAGGGCCCGACCAGTAGGGGCCAGCTAAGGTCGGTCAGGGTTAGTCAGTTTTGGTTGAGTTATAGCCCTATATACTCCGTACTATCGTCAAAACTGACCTCACCAAGTGCCCGTTCTGTTTTCAGACCTGAGCATTTGTTGCTTTAACCTGAGCCGAGACTGAGCCGAGACTGAGCAGCCTAAGCCGAGACTGAGCAGATAGTTGAGGCATTGGTAGGACCCAGTACCGGTTCCCCTGGAGCATGCATTTCGGCCCTCAGACTCAGTTCCAATTGCCTGTTTGATTTCATCATGTTTCGGCCAAGACTCCTCCATGGAGCTTGGCCACTTTCATTGATGCATTGCCTATTTCAAGTATGTAACTTATCTAGGGTGTATTGACTTAATTGACTCACGTGCCAGGGCACTGTCCTTTCCGGTTTAGCCCCGGCTCCATCAGTTTCAACGCGCCGACCGCGATTCCACAATTGAAAGGCCAAATAATTTCATTCAACCGTTCTCCCTCATCTCTTTCCCTCATCAAAGGACATTCGCTTCTTTTCTATGACTTTATCATAGAAAAAAGGGGACTCTGCGCTTTCACCTCTGACAACAATATCTTGATGGCGCCCAGAAATAGTCAATGATATTATGCTGCCGCGTAATATCTAACATGTAGTCCTTCCACTACTAGCTGGTACTCCAGCTATATGCACACAAGCCTCACTTCATGGTATCTCCATGGTATCTCTAGGGCAACACCACTCGAGCCCGCAGATGTTTTCCTACTGAAACGTAGAGTAGTGGAACCAAGGGATCGGGATTCCATTCCAGGCCCCCCAGGTTCCGTCGATGATACAGCACCCATGTATTGAGTTGGCAGTGTGAGACGAGTGTGACTCGATAGTGACTTCATGGTGAGGTCGCCGTATTCATATGTTGAAGGATACAGATCCTGACATTTAATTTTGCCGCTTATTATATCCTCAATGCTCCATAACAACTAGCCCTCCATGTGTCCTCGCCGTCGCTTCCTCACTGTCGCTTTACAACGAGTAGGAGAGCGCTGGAGGGCAGTTGTGTGTGCGTGGATTACCGGATCCGGAATAGCGTGGTTTTCGATTAGTAATAGCCCTACCAGTCGCACACACGAGGGACGCCGCTGCGCAGCGTAATCAATTTCTCTCTCTCCCCCATCTTGTCTTGATTTCAGGCAAAGCATACAGAGTGATATACACTATACACAGACCGTAAACATGACTAACTGACTTGATTAAGCAACTCCAGGGGCTATGAATGCTGAAGAATTTCGCGCCAAAGCCGTCAGTGGGGAGGTGCCGATCAAGGGCCATGATCAGGTGTTGCGAATAGCATATCTCTATATGCATCAAGGAGATTGGTATGGAAGTAACAATGGAGTGTTGGGTGAGGTGGAGAAGCTCCATACGCGCGGCTGGTCATTTGGCCAGGGAGAGTTGGCTTTCAATCGGTAAGATACCGTTTCCAGGTGGAAGTTCCCCGGTGTACTTTCGCAAAAGGGACGGACAATCTGATGATAATCAAAGCTCTCTCGATACCTTCTACGTGGCCCAGATAGCAGCCGGCATATTCCGCTGGTCCGACCAAATGGAGAGCGAGTTGCCCTCAGCAGACGACTTTGACACCTTCTACGCCCAGCATCACCAGTGGCTCAACCAGGACGCATGGAGACACTACTACTCCACTCATTTCCTTGCGCAGGCCACCTCAGCTCGCTTCTATCGCCTACCCGACCTACAAGACCTCCCCAAGGAACCGGCCATTTGACCCGACTTCCCCGCTGGGCATATAACGCCTCGCGCACTGCTTGGAGACAGCCCACCCTCCCCGCCGCAAGCCAGACTCAGATAGCCCTCTCCACCCTGCAGCAGACCATCTCACGACAGCGCGGGGCCGGTTACCCAAGCGTTTCACCTTACTCGGAGACTCAAGCCCGCTTCTGGCTCGAGAGAATGGGCATGTATTCGGCCAGAGCCGCCCCTAAGGAGGCATGGAGACGCTACAACTTCGGCGCCAAGGTCGCGCAAGGATGGTACGATATGTGGAAATGGGAAGCGTACTACTCGCGGAACCGATGGGACTCGGTTGAAGCGCGAAATGCGTATCTCGAGCCGGATCTGGATGGGACGCGCAAGAGCGAGGTGACCTGGAGCGGTTTGCCGGACGGTGGGACGGCGTTCATGGCGTGGACGAGAGGGTGGGATCCCGAGGTGGGGAGTGAGGAGGAGATTGCCTTTCTGGCTGCTGTTGCCGCGAAAGAGACGGAGGGGGTTATCGAAGTCGACAATTTGGACTATGCAATGCGATCGCACATGCTTTGGGGGGTGATGCGTCTTGCGTTTGAGTCTGCTGAGCGGGAAAGACTCATGGAGGACCTGAAGCGGGGGATCGTTAAGACAGGCAGAATTGATGATGAAACCAAGGCCGAGCAGTGGAATTCAACAGGTTTTGATGGTGATGGAGCCGTATGTGCAGAAGTCGGATGCACAATGGCCTGCCGCTGTGGAGGATCGGATTGAGCTGCTACGGCATATCTTGATGGAGAATGGGCAGCTTTTCGCAAGATGGACGCTTTCACCCCTTTCTAAAGAGTTTAATTTCGAGCTGGCACCTGTTGGAGGATGGGGGGATTGTGACAGCAGACCCTGCTGAAGGCAGCTATCATGGGTGACTTAAGCCAGGGTCACGTGGAGTGGAAGAAAACCAAAACCAGGGGGAAGGGCATTCCTCGGGCATGCATCTATCAGGCCAATGGCAATGACCATGGTATGTTATGACCTGTGCGAAACTATGATACATTCACATCCTTACATACACGACTTCGTATCATCACCTCCTGAGCATGATATACATTGGCTTGACCAAGCGTCCTGACTTTGCCGATCCGTCATACTCTTTCTTATGCACAAGTACCAAACGCCGACTGACATCCGGTCCCGCAGTACGCATTTGTGGCTCCACAATAGCCGTACTCGGAGCAACAATTGCCAAAGCCAGACGCAGCACAAGTCGCGCCAACAGGATTGCTGGCTGCGCTGCAGGTGCCGTCCGTGGAGACCGGTGGACCACTTGCACCACAAGTACCGAAAGCTGTCTGGCAGCCCGTGCCGCAGAACGCGCTTGTGTCGCCGCAGTAGCCGTATTGGGAACAGCAACCTCCGAAGGCCGAGCCGGCACAGGTGCGCCCGTTCGCGCCGCAGGTGCCATCTTGCGAGACTGCTGGTCCTTGGGGCTCTGGGTCGCATGTGCCATACAGAGGGTTGCAAACCGAATAGCCACAGTTGCCGGATGCTGAGCCACACCATCCATAGATGGAACAGCAATTGCCATAAGGTGTGCCTAGGCAGGTCTTTCCTGCAAAGTCAGGACCACAGCGACCATCGGTGGAGGGATTCGATGAGCCGCTGGGCGTTGCAGAGCTCGAGGTTGACGACCCTCCCAGGTTAGCCACCACAATTTCTGTGGTGTACGTCGACGTGGAAATGGACTCCACGGTGGTCGTCAAGATGACTGTGTTGCCGGGGCCCCACGGCTCGGGCGTATAAGTTGGGGGAGACGTTGAATAGGTGTAACTTGGGTACGAAGACCGGCTCGGAAGACTGGCTGAGGCACTGGCCATCTGGCGCCTGACCATCTGGCGCTTGACCGGTGGCGGAGCATCTGTCGCCAAGGATCGTTTCTTCGCCTCCAGGAATGCCACTCCGATATCATACCCCTTAAAGTCACAGGAGAGCTTGGGCCCACCAGCAGACACGATGGCTCGCTCGACGCAACCAGATTTCATCAAGAATGGCAAGTTGAAGTAGGCGCTGGCGAAGGCTGTATCGGTGCGCTCGTTCCAGTCCCAGCCAGTCAACGGTGGTCGTCAAGATGACTGTGTTGCCGGGGCCCCACGGCTCGGGCGTATAAGTTGGGGGAGACGTTGAATAGGTGTAACTTGGGTACGAAGACCGGCTCGGAAGACTGGCTGAGGCACTGGCCATCTGGCGCCTGACCATCTGGCGCTTGACCGGTGGCGGAGCATCTGTCGCCAAGGATCGTTTCTTCGCCTCCAGGAATGCCACTCCGATATCATACCCCTTAAAGTCACAGGAGAGCTTGGGCCCACCAGCAGACACGATGGCTCGCTCGACGCAACCAGATTTCATCAAGAATGGCAAGTTGAAGTAGATCGGAAGCAGCCCCGCTCTTCTGATTTCAGACTAGCGCCACCGTCGGTGCTCCAGCCGTCGATGTTGTAGACTTGGAACGTCCAGTAGCCCCCTGCCGTGATCCTGTCCGCTGTCAGCTTTGACCAGTCCATCATCCAGTGTTGCTTGCGCCAGAACGGGAAACAGAAATAACTTCATCAACTTACCAGGAAGCACAGTCGGCCCGCAGGGTCGGCTCCACCACCACTGTTATAGTCGTGGTCGGGTTGACCGTCTCAGTGGAGGTTGCGATAACTGTGATAGTGTTCGTCAAGCCAAATTGTGTCAAGGTGAAAGCTGAACCATCGTAGCCGGGCGGGTTGGTTGGGACGTATTCTAACGGGATTTGCTTCCCGTTGATCACCGTATTATCAGCTGCCTGTCCAAAAGACCAGGCCGCCTCGACATCGGGGTCCACCGAGCATTGCGGACTACCGGGTGTTGTAGTCGTTGCCGTATCTTGCCCATTACAGGCAGTACTCGTCGCGCAGTTAGTCTGTCTCAAGTTAGCTTGCTGCCATCTAAAATCCTAAAACTTACCTCTGTTGTTCGCGTGGACGAGCTCATGTACCAAGCCTTGTAGCTGGTTACAACATATGTGCAAGCCGATGCGGTCACAGGAGTTTCACAGTCATTGTCGCCGCCATCAGTGCCGCCGGGACCCTGCGTGTTTCCGCATCCGCCTGGAATAAGACAACCGACGCCGCCACAAGAACCAAGAGGGCAATCGGGCACGCAACCAAAGACGCCACAACCTCCACCGCAGCCAAAGATTCCGCATCCACCATCACAGCCAAACAGTCCGCAGCCTGGTTTACAACCGAAGATGCCACAGTCGCGAGTTCCGCATCCAGGCCCCGTGCAACTGACGGGAGGAATAGGAGTGGGTCGGACGGTAACAGGTGGCAATGGAGTAGGTGGGTCAGGATAGTCCACCGAGAAGGTTGGCTGAGGTTGAATGGTGACGGGAAAAGATGTTGTGGGGAATGTGACAGGGGGGATGATGATCAATGGTGTACTCGTGCCAGTAGACGTCCCTGGTGTTGGAGTAGTGACGGGGAAGGTAGCGTGGTTCGGAGGGAGAGTATACACGAAAGATGATGGGGTGATACTCTGGACTGGGTTGATTTTGTAGCTTGCCGTGTCGGTAGATTTCAATGTCAGGGGCTGGAGACTGACGTCGGTCATGGTAAAAGCTGGGACGGGAATCGTGGTTGTCTTCACGTAGACACCTCCTGCTCCAGAAGATAAGAGAGTCGTGGTCAGAGCTGGCCAGTTCACCGTGTGAGTGACACCCAGTGGATATGGTGGGAAAACAAAAATGCATGGAGGTTTGCAGCCCACCAACGGGTTAGGCGAGGTCCAGAGACTTGGTGGAGGATAGACAATGTTGGAAGAGGCACCAGAACCAATGGTATCACCATTGAAACCTTGTAGATCGATTGCCCAATCGACAATTCCCGCAAAATTGAGGCCTCCGTAAAGGGCTTTCCGATCGGCTTTGACGCTATCGTCCATGTAGGCGACCCATTGCGTGGAATCGTACACAGCAACGTTCGATTGACTGTCGCTGTCGAAATATGACGAGTAGGATGAAATTGGCTGTAGAGCTCCAGATTGTGTCTTCCAGGTTCCAGTTCCCCCAAGGATGGCATTAATTTCGGCATTGGAGATATAACCTGCAGTGCCGGTGCATGGTCCAGGATATGCCCCGGAAACTCCACCCGTGTATGTGCACAGGGGACCAGTGCAACCAGGTGTTGTCATTTGGAACGAGCGGCCATAGCTCGTGACGCCAACAGCAAGCTTGCCGGACGGTACGCCGGCCTTGGTGATCATGGACAGAGCCACGAGGGTCTCGGTGAGATTAGTGTGAGAACGCAGACAATCACCTGCGGGACAGCCGTCGATGCTATACTTATTGGCATAATCCCACTGGCCGTGGAGATCATAAGTCATGTAAACAATATAATCGGCCAGGGCTGCCATTTCCTCGATATGGTAGCCTTTGAGGTACCAGAATGAGGCCGGTGCGCAGAATGAGGCCGACTTGCCGGAAGGCAGAGCTGCTCGCAGCTTTCCGAAAAAGGTGAGATAATTCGCTGCATCTGCGGCAGTACCTATCTCAAGTCAGTTTGATCAAACTGCCGAAGACTGGCAGATCACGTACCTGGTGGAATTCCGGGAATGTCTGGTGCGTTAGGATCTACGACTTGGATTAACAAGGCTCCTCGTTGAAAAGACACTGGCCAACTTACATTCCCAGTCTATATCAATGCCATCCAGGTTATGCTGTTGTATAAACGAGACGATGTTGGCGACAAACGTATCCTGATTGCCTGGCTTGACAGCGTCCCGGAAAATTTGATACGTAGGCCCTTCAGTAGAGAAACTCCAGCCGCCCAGAGACAGAATCTTCTTGGGCCCAAAAATTTGTTTGAAAAGTTGCCACTGGATGTCAATATGGCTGACGTCTATGGCATAGCTCGTGGTGACATGACCGAATGCCAGATGAATATGCGTATACGGTTCCAGATCCATGGCAGAAATCTTCATGTTCAAGCATGGACGGTCCAGATTATAGGCTTCAAAGTAGCCTATGCTCATGGCCTGAGCTGGAGCTGATCCAACAACAATGTCAGTCCCACAGTTGGAAATACAGCCATTTTCGCCCGGAGCCGCTGTTCCGGGTGCACCTGTTGCCGACTCGGAAATGGTGCAAAACTCTTTGGTGATACCGCATTGGCCATGCCGGTTCTACATGAGAGGCGGGTTAGCTGTTTCAGAGTATAGCTGGGCTCAGAGGGACACATACACAACAAGCATTAAGAGGACATTGATTCAGGCTGGCAAGAGCAATACCCGGTCCAGGCTGGGTACTTCCGGGCTTCTGCGGACCACAGATGGCGTTGGTAATAGGAGCCGGCATAGGAGGTGCACCAGTACTCAGGCAAATGTTCTGAAAAGCTTGCACGTTGGAACAGCCCTGCCAGCCCCAAGTTTCAGTGTTAAAGCTCTCTATCTCAGCGTTGGTCAGACTGTTGGCTGCTCCCAAGGCAGAGCAGCTATCGCCGGGCTCGACATAGTGTGAGAAACAGGTTCCATCCGGGTTAGGTTGTGGGCGGAAGTCGGGCATCTCGCCCGCTGAGCAGCAGGCGTGCTGTCCCACCTGCAGAGAGGAGCAAAATGTGGGGCTTGGGTTGTAAGTAGTAAAGTCAGAGGGAGAAATGCCACACTCCGCCGCCAAACTTGAGCCTAAACCCTAGCATTAGTGGACGGTCCATCGGGGAAGACTCTGCCATGAGTACTCACAACTATCCCCTGAGACAACCTGAATAGTCGAACACGGAGCTCGTCGATGAAAGATGTTGGAGTTGCGAGGTGTCAACGGGAAAGTGCCAGCAGTACTGTTTCTCAAGCCGGCAGTGCTGTTTCCAGCCGTGCCATTGCTGAGAAGATCTGGCACCGACAATGTGATGGCCTGCCAAGGTTCTGCGTTGTCGTAGGAAGTGATGCATTCACCAGATGCCCAGGTGGCTACAGCATCCTGGACAAAGGGTATATCGCGATCTCCGCTCGCAGCAATGCCAAAGCTGTATTTGGAGCTTCGGCCGTCCTTGACACATAGTTGCGCAACTACGCTGTTGGAGAAACCGGTGCCTTTGATCTTCTTGATGAACTGCTGTAGCACGGATGCCGAGATGTCTTGGACTCCAGGTCCGGCAAAGAGCCCGAGAGCGACCGAGTTGGAGTAGGAGAAGGAGGTGACATCGGTGCAGTTCGAGTCTCGTTGAGACAACGCAGCGGCGAGTTGTTTCGACGCGGCCTCAAAATCCTCCAGTGTGGCTGGAATGCTGGTGTGATTGAAAGCCAGCTGTAGTGACTCTTGGACCTGGGTCAAGCTGCCGTTAGGTAGACAAGATCCGTCATTGGTGGTATTGCCGGCGCTGCTTGCACCTACTGTGGAAGTGGCGGTGCAAGCGCGAATAGTCTCGTCACTGCGCAAAGAATTGTAGAGGGTGAAATCGAGTAGCATAGTCTCATTACATATCGATAGCCGACCTAGTCGGGGATACAGAGTCCAGTTTCCTGGATTCGACCCCGACTCATCGCATCCAGCTGGGCATTGACTGAGTGCCAAGTCGGCGAGTTTCGGAGCAATTGTGTCGTTGCTATTGATTGTTGGGCCGGCAGACTTTGTCGGGACTGGATGTGCGGCCAAGTATGAGCTCAGCTGGTCTGAACCACCCTCTATTGCCGTGGCCTGGTGAGACAGCATGAGGGTGATGGCTACCGTCCCGGCTGAGACAGATGACGGTGAGAACCACATCGTCAGAGAAGGAACGGGTAAGCAGTAAAACGAATGTGACAAAAACGATAATGAGCGTGATGTTCAAAGAGCAAGAAGAGAAGCGAACCTTAGAGAGTGAGGCCGATGCAAAATCTCGTTCTGAGCGGTGATAGCATACTTATGCCCATCCCGCCAGACATACCTTGTCAAACTCCCCTCACCTGGGTTTGATGTAGTAGTATGGCAATCTCAGAGCAATCCCACCGGGATAATCATTGAGGTCTCATCTCCCCTGTTTTGGCATCTGCACACAAACACGCCAGTGATACGAAGTGCCGCCCAGAAGTAATGGGATTTTTCTCTAGTTAAGGGGCATAGTGTATGGGCTAAGGCCCTCGACCTACCAGATGCTGTAGATCCTCTCTTTGGCTGGATTTGCTCTCCCTACTTGATAAAGCTATCTCTGTATGAATTCTCAATGTCGTGTTGTACGGCTTGCGAGCATAAGAATTCTTTTGGATATATGAATACACAATATGAGTGATGTATTAGATATGTAATTTATACAAAATTTTGAAGATTTAAGTAAAAAAGTACATGAGATGATGTATTCTGATATACACAGAGTTTGTACTGGGCTAATCCAAATAGGGTATCTCATTACTTCTGGGCCGCCACCTCGTAGACCGGATTCCTTGAAGAATGCTGATCCTACGGCGTAGACCACATGAATCCCAACATCCAACATTTGCTCCTTCCACTTTATCCCCACATATCATTTTGCCCCTGAAGTCTTGCCAGCTTCGACGCTAATTCGAAGTCACAAAACACAAACATTTTAATCTTCTGCCCTGTCCTCCCACGCATCAAAGTCAATAATAACGTCATTTAAGCCCCTAGCGTGCGGCGCGCACCAACGGATTTACCCTTTCCGAACCCAAACCTCGTTTCGAGCGTTTGCGGTGGAGAGGCTAACAAGACTTCAGGGGGCTAGTAAAGGGGTACATACTATAAGAAAAATCCTTCGCTCGGTTATGCGTGTGCTGAACGTAGATCAACTGTTATCACAGTCAAATGCCCTCAGCCAAGGCATTGAAGTCAGGTCTGCACTCGCGCTCGAGCTTTGCAAACTTAAGTTACAAACCCGGGAAAGCCGCAAAAGCTACCGCGCAACGTTCTCGGTGAGATGCAGGCAGATGTCGTTCAGAATGCTTTGTATAGTGGCTTACTCTATCTAGGAGCTGCCCGTTACCGCTATGCCTCTCGCCAGAAGGGACGAGAGAGGTGACGATCATCTCATTTCCCACTCGTCTTGGCAACGTTCTCAGCAAGACGCAGGGATATGTTGTCCAGAATACTGCGCATAGTGGCTTGCTCTCGAGGGTCTAATGTATGTAGGAGCTGCTGTGCCTCTCGCCGGCAGACACGAGAGAGGCGACGATCATCTCATTTCCCACTCGTCTTGGCTACCGCTCCACAATACGTGATGACTTTATCCCGGTTGCATTTCCTTGATTCGCCTATTTCCCTTACTTCGACTCGGGTATCCCACCAATGTTCTACCCCCTTCCCATTCTTTCCCATCTGCTGTACCGGTTTTCACTCTTTCCCATCTGCTGTAGCAGTTTCCACTCTTTTCCATTTACTGTACCAGTCGTTCTTTTGACCTTTATCATCATCTCACCATAGTCAGTCGTTTCACTTCAATACCGCAGAATGAAGTTCCAGGTCGTTTTGGCTCTTGTTGCCTTGGTTGCGGCCGTTCCATTCGAAGGTGGTCAGTTGCACAAACGCGCCGGGGAAAAAATCCATGTTGGATATCGGGCTGTCCACAAGGTAGGTCGAATTGACCGTTCAGGCAATCATATTGCTTGAAAGCAACGGTAGATGGCGGCTGCGGCGCCTCACTGACTGATTGAACCTCCTTCGCTTTCAAGTACTGATCTCTTCATAACAGGCAGAAGCCCAAGCGATCGAAGCCAATGGAAGGAAGGCGGTGCGGTCCAATGAACGCGGGGGCAGGCAGATCGGATCGGGAATCTACATTTCCCCAGAGTTTAAGTATTGGACTGAAGCTTATTCCGACCCTGATGCTCCACCCTGGGACTGTGCTGTCTTTGTTGACGCCGATTACTGGAACGGGCTCAATAAGGCATGGATACCGAGATCTTTCAAGTTCCCGGAAGATGATGCCAACAACCCGGCCACGTGCGCGCCGCTCCAATTGTGGAAGATGTTTCCCGGTAAGTGACTGGTACAGCCTCGGTCATTTTCGCGTACTAATAGATCGCCTGAAAGCTGTCAAAAGGAACCGAGCGCGTTTCTTGCAGCACTTGGATCCTTCGTTCACGATCGAGAACACGGTTCGCTTCTCTTTGGTGCTGAACCACGAGCCAAAGATTCAGGCGTTGATCCCACAGGAGATTATCGACGAACAGCAATTTTACCTTGAGCCGTGTGCTGAGGACACGGCGCCGGACAACTACAAGATCGGCGAACTCGGGAAAGTTGATTGGAAGATAGAAGGATTGAAAGGCTATGGCTTGGGGTCTGACTACGAGTAGAATGGTATAAGCAGCATTGGAAGCCTGTTTCCACGTTTTGGTCGGCAGTTTCTCTCGGCAAAGCAAGCCTATAGGGGGTTCAGATGAGATGGCCGGATGTGTTGCTTCCATGCGCGCTTCTGTATCTCCGGCGACTGTCTGACCATACTCTTGTGTCTGACAGACAATGTTCCTCTTCCTTTTCTTCTCCACTTTGACGAGCTACTCGAGTCGAGGACTATGGAGGTCGGCCCCGTCAGGGGCTGACATTTTATGTATTTTACATGCTTTTGTTGAAGACACGTGATAATATACTTCATGCGTCATCGATCGATTGGTTATCTAGGTGTACTTACAACCACTGCACTTCTGTGTTTGAACTCCGCCTCCATCAAGGGACAATAAACATATATCGTCCGGCTCTTTGATACCCTCGGGGAAAGTTGCAGCAGGGATGTCGGAGGGTGAAGAGCCTGGGCCGATCTCATAGTTGTCCATATTGGTTGTAATTGAGGACGCGTTGCCCTCCTGTACTCCGTAAAAGTCTTCATTGTCTTTCGTTCCAACGCCATTCAATGCCCAAAATTTCTCCTCGGAGCACTCATTCGTAGATCATCTCCCCCTGTCAAAACCTGGTCCTTTGAATCCAGTCTTCTTCTTCGTCTTTATCGATGGGCAGACAACTAGATTTCTAGCTTTTCTGCGAGTATTTTTCTTCTTGGTGACTCTGCTGGCGATTTGCTTCGCACTTCGTCCTTTGACTCTGGGAGCAAGACCATCAACATCCATATCTAGACAGGATGATCGTCAGCTTTCGGCTGCTTGAACTTTCTGGTGATATATCTTACCATCAGCTGAACCGGCCACATCTCTCTGAGCTTCCTCCTCCTCTTCCACGGTATCGACATCCATCCTTCGCTCAGTAGAGCGTTTAGGGGTCGCAGCGATCTCTAGTAGTTTTGCGGAGAGGCGGGCTGTACATGCATCGTCGACGGGTCCGAATACTTTGGCTCGGAGAGTGGCATTATTGCATTTGCGAACGGAGGAGCGGGCGCTTTTGGCCATTGTGGGATTTGATCAGAGTGGCAGTGGTTGTTCTGTTCTCGTAATTGCGGATAGAGTTATCCTCTGCTGATGGTCCAACAGATCTAAACTCTGACAATGGCTATATCCATGTCCGAGTGTTCCTCTGGCTAGTTTCACCTCACAAATCCCTCTCCACAGGCTATCTCCTCTACCATTCCTCTCCCCACCCACGACAGATCCAGACAACTATGGAGGAGAAGGAGATCGCAGCCTTGAATGGGGCAATCAAACTTCTGCTAGTTGTACAGCTCAAGCAGGTACTGAAAACTGCCGACCAACTAGTAAGCGGGGTCAAATCTGAACTTTAGGTGCGGTTGATCGCACGTAAGTACCGCCATGACTACCATCTCATATCGCGCTCAAATACTCACTTCCCACAAACAGATGTCAACAGAATTTACACTGCTGGCGAGGACCGGGCCGATTTGTTCAGCGCAATAGGGAGAAGTTCGAACCTTACTTCGACCCGAGACAATACGACGGAATCGAATGGCAACCACTTAGGTTGGACGGTCGGATTGCAGTTGCTGAAAAGGAGAGCACAGCAAGAAACCCAAATGCAGATGACATCTTACTTGTGATCTTTTCCCCGTATCTACATCGTTGCAGATAACGAGCCTGACCCAGTTACCGCAGGCATCGTACTGATGAAATCGCAATCAGAAGCAGCGTTTAAGGAAATAGAGACAGAAGATGTTTCCAGCCCGACCACTGGAAAGCCTGGCCCAAGATCTAGAGCTATCAGATCTCGGACAAAGTCGATCTCCTTGAACAGCGAAAGGGATCTCTAATATCAGTCAACTTCGAACCTGTCAAGCGGACAATCGGTTGGTTTAAATAGCTGTGAGGTCTCGCCGAAAAACGTTGCTGGGCTTCTCCAAAAACTGCCGGGGCGGGACAGTGGGAGAGTTGAGAGACAGGGCGCTCTGCGTGTGTAGGATCGAGCACCTGACCGGATAAGTAATGCTGCCTCAAGCTCTCTGGGTGATTTTTCGAAAAAGGATGGCTCAGATATACCTTTGAAACATGGCGTTCGGAATGAGTTGTTATAATGAAGATATAACGGACCCCCTTTATTGTGAATGTGGTAGAAATCATTTTTCTTCGACAGGACCTGAGAATTGACCTCACCACGTAAGATTGTGTGGAAACTTGTTTCCAACATAGGAAACCTTGTCTCAAAGATGCTATACCCTCTGGCAACATTCTCTTGTATTCCTAATTCAAGTGACGTGGTGTCAATAGGAAAGGGGACCAAGTGGGGCCTTGATTGTGTGGCTGATTTCATGGATTTGGATGGGCTCTTCAAGCTTGCAACAAAACTATGGATTTTCTCTGGGTTAGTTTTCAGGTCTGGGAATATCTTCAAGAATAGTGATCGTAATTCAGGATAGTCATCAATCCATGCTTGCAGGTCTACTTCATCACGACCTGGTTCCATGGGAAATGATTCAGGATGGGAACGGCAATGTTGTTCCATAGTTGAAAATCATGTAGCAAAGGGTGCGATCCTGGAAATCTTTTGACTTAAAGCTGTCTACAAGTGATTGAGTTCTCAATATGTGCTTTCTTGCCTCATGAACTGTTATAGGGTGTTTGCAGTCCAAGGCACGTAAGGCACGCTTCGACGAATGTAGGCGTGAAAGTTGAGGTGGTAGAATGTGTACTCCTACGTAGTAAGTTGTCTGCTCGCCTTTTGGCACAGCCCAATGGCCTTGCCCAATGCCCAGCCAGCAGCAAGATCACGTGATATTGACTTGGCATGAGTAGACATCTCTAGCTAGTCTTAATTGACCCCCAAGACGTGCTTCGAGTTCCTGGAAGGGAAAGGAGCTTGGGAGCAAGATGGACGATGGGGTAGATTGGAATGAGAGGGAACGAAATATATGGATCACTCAGATGATAGAATCCTGGTCGAAGGGCGACACTTCCAATAGACACACAAGACAATATTGCATAGACCAATATGGCGTCAATTTTGTCAAAGAAGAGCTACCATCTTTATTGAGACGAGATGGATTGCCGGAGGATGAAGTAGTCCGATTGACTAAGGATAGTCTGGACATGGAGCCACCGCCCCCTCATCCATATTGGGAAGATGAAGACGAGTCAGATTCCGATTGTGAAGAGTCGGAGGACAGTCAAGGAGAGTATGATGAAGATAGCGATGCCGGCAGCGATGAAGACAGTGATGACGAACTGAGTGATGGTTGGCAGACCGCAGACGAAGATTGAAGGTCAATGATTCAAATTCGATCGGAGGACAGTCTTTTCATTCGAATTACAGTTCTTTATTGGGAAGATGTAAGGCAGTAATGACGCAGCCAGTGATTGTGCTGGTGTGTGAACTGGTCACTGGCAATGTGGAGAGACCGGCGGCCCATCAATTTTATGATCCAAGGCCAAAGCTATGATCGGGGCGTTGACAAGCGAATAAGATACGGCATTCGCATTGAGGCAATTTTCTCACTGGCCGCGTCCCGTCTTATCTCTCTGTTAGTAGAAATAGGTGGGCCACGCAGGAGCTACCTCTGTTTGAGGGTCAGGCTGGCGACCGGGCGACCGAGTGATAGAGGGACTCTGGGTCTCCTGCGGGCCCAAAGGTCAGGCTGTTAGCGATCTAGCCCGAACCATAAATTGCCAGCCTTGTTCTATACGTCCATCATTCCTGTGCAGCTGTTATAGAATCTTTAGAGTTGTAACAAAGATAGATCACGTATTCAAGCGGGTTCACTAGGGTAATCAGAAGAGCAGGCCATCTTGTATTATTTTAGCATCTTATTATGCTAATTAAGTGAACATTATAAGTGTTAACAAGGCTCAGCTAGATAGAGCGTAGGATCAATCTTAGTATTAATAAGAATCGGCGAATTCTACGACATTCTAACCCAATTAATTCTGTCACATTATAAGCTAGGTAGTGTTATTTTGGACACCAGACGGGATGTGTCCTGCGTAGTACGTTGTCGTCAACGCTAGTCAATCTATAAGGGAAGATATGAGCTAACCAAGAAATCCAACATTGATCGAAGTGAGACCGGTGTGGGTCCGCAGGAGCTAGGGATCCCAACCCGAGGGACGCAGTCGTCGGGGGACCAGAGTTCAGCAACAGGTAGACAAAGCGGCGTGGCGGTCGTCGAGGGTCGCATGCGAGCGGCGCTGCTATGCTCACGGCCCCGGGTGGGGGACGTGCGACGAATATATAGACCACGGACGCGGCAGATTCCGGGAGATAAAAGCGGCGGGAAGTGAGCGGGATACGCTTAACCCGATCTGGCTTGAACACCCCCGGCACCCTGACGTAGAGTACAGAGTACTAGCCGTGGCCCAATGGGTGGAGCCCTTAGAGGGCCCCACTTGCAGGGGGGTACCCCCCCTACAAGCCCGCGCGCAGCGCGTGGCTCTCACCGTAACGCGCAAATCAGCGTAACGCGCATCTTGATTCCACTGATTGAATTTGAATGAGTATAGACAGTGCAGAATTCGCTCAATTAGGAAACTATTACTCCTCAACGAATGGGAAGCCATTTTCAACGCTCCACTGCAAATTTGAGAGCTTGCGGCGCTCATCTTCTAACTCTTTTCGTAGGTCTTCTTCTCGCCATAGGGCCCTCTGGAGCTGTGTACCACCCTCTTCTACGCGCTGTGTGACCATATTTCGAGCCTGCGAAGCCAATAAAACTCCTCCTTTTTGTAGTTGACGTTGAGATTGAGTTCTTCGTTCTCTTCGTTCTTTTTCAGCTGCTGTAGAAGCTTCTAAATCCTTCCGAAATTGTACGGCAGTTTTAGCCTGAATGAGGGCACCTTTGATGAATTTTTGTTGTATCAATTTCTGACGACTTGGAGTTGCGTTTTCTA